TTGCCTAAATATAGCAGTTGCATATGAGAACAGTTGTTGACGATTCCCCTTGTGGTTGGTCCGGTTCTGTTGGTTCTGTCGCATGCACTGTGCCTGTGTCAGACTGAGGTGTTGGGGGTACATCCCCTGTTGGAGTAGGCAGTCCTGTGAGTATTGATGCCACCGGGGGGCTGACTGTGTCGCGGCAAACATGAGTATGGCGATATTCAGGCGATCTTGAATGTATAGGTCATGTTGAATAAGGGAAGTAGTAATCATAGCAATGGCAATGTGAATGGTAGCCCTTGTCCATTGAATATCTTGGGGTACGTCTACACTAACCCCCTAGTTCGAACTAGGGAGGCTAATGAGGGTGACCGAAATTGCTAATGAAGCACGAGATTTAAATAACCCGCACTTGATTAGCATGTTCCCAGCCGGTCACCATTTTGGAAACTGACTAGCCCTAAGTAACTGCCTGTGTCTACACATGGCAGAGAAGCACAATTCCAAGATAAACCCCTTAGTTCAAATTAACAGTTTAACCTCATTCCGTTTAATTCGAACTAAGGGGTTTATCTTGGAATTGCGCTAGTCAGTTTCCAAAATGGCGACTGGCCGGGAATATGCTAATCAAGCACGGGATATTTAAATCCTGCGCTTCATTAGCAATTTCAGTTGCCCTCATTAGCCTCCCTAGTTCAAACTAGGGGGCTAGTGTAGACGTACCCTTGGGGAATATGCCTTTCTTGTCAAATAATAGTACTGGGAGTAGGATGAGCGGGCAGGTGACCTCAAACAGGATCCAGTCCTTCGTCGTCTTGGAGATGATGGAGATTCATGCTGGTGATAATGGTGAGGAGATGGTGAATGTGGCGGCAAGTGGCATCGATGATGTATAGTTGGGCTATCGTGCCTCCGAGTGTATGAATGCACCGAGCGTGGTGAAGCATGAGAAGAAGGGCCAGGAGAAAAAGGCACTGGTTCTGAGCTAGGAGAAGGGGTAATGATCCTCCTAGATTTATGCACTGCCTTAGATGGTGCCCGAGAATGGTGTGATGGCAGCTCTGGGTGTTGATGTGCTAGTATCAGGGATGTCGGTGCAGATGGAATCACTGTGACATTCGGTGCCGAGATGCCCGGTGCAGTACTCGGTGCCAGCAGTGCCCCACAGCTCAGAGTGAATCTTCGGTGCCGAGGTAACTGTAGGCGCCGGCTTCGATGTTGGTGCCGGGGACGTCCTTAGTGCTGGTATGGTTGTGCTTCTGGAAGCAACTGCCAGTGCCAACTCTGCTCTGGGAGCCGACGTTGGTATCTGCGCCTGAAGCCTTGAAGGAGCAGGGTTGGGCACTGAAGCACTGCGAGCAGCTTTGTGTTTGCCGGCACGAGACGCCAAGCCTTCTCTGGAGGTACTTGGCTTCTCCGTATCCTTAGTCCGTTCTGAGGTAGAATGGCAAGAGGGTGAGGATCACCTCTCTACTGGACTTAGAGCTGGCCTCTTGCATGCTGCTGCTGTGTCCAGATGCCCCGAGTCATCAGAGCCAGATGATTGCGGGGCTCTATTAAAAAGGAGCATTTTTAGCTGCATTTCGCGGTCTCTCCCTGCTCGCAGTGTAAGATTGGCGCAATAGTGGCATTTTTGGGGGATATGCCTCTCTCAAGCATTTGATGCACCTGGAGTGCCCGTCTGAGGTGGGCAGTGTGTCATAGCAAGACGCACATTTCTTGAAGCCAGTGGATCCCGGCATGTTGTGAGGAGAAACAAAAGAACAAGAACTATAACTACTACTAACTACTATGTTTAAAACTTTTCCCCTCAGAACTACAGGAGAGCAGTTAGACTGCGTCTGCAGCCATAGGAGAGCCGGGCTGCACACACTCAGAGTCAGCTCGAGCAGCACGTGCCTCCTGCTGCACATGCGCGGCCAGACCACTGCTGAAAAATCTCCGGTCTGCAGCGTGGGACAAGCCCGACACCAAGAGTGGAGCACCCACGGGAACCACTCGAAGAAGTGTCCTGGTTCTCAGTGATAATCTGAAACCAGACTCCTATCCTGGTTGGGTCAGCACTGACCATTTTCTACAGTACCAAGGACCACATCAGTTCAGAAAACTGTTGTTTAAAATTCACAGAACCTCAGTCTCTCCTAAGATTGCCAAGACCTTGGCTACCAGAGAGACTAGTGGAAAGTCACAGAGCAGTTTCCTCCCACAGTGCTAGTATGGTCTTTGCTCCATGCCATTTGAAGAAGACTGGTAGCTCTTTGTCCGAGTAATAGAGATTCGCTTCTGGTGTCCATCACTGGAAGTAGTAGTAGTCTGCCACTTCTTGGTCCAGAAATCATGCATGTGCAGTTAACATGGATCAACTGCAGTGCACCTACATGATTATTCACTTCCCTGCCACATACATGGAAATAAGGAATCTTGCGTGGGACAGAGGAACCTTACACATCCATAGAGGCTCCAGTGACTCTTTGCTTATTTGTGTGGGAGACCTAATGATCTGTTTGAACAAGGACGAAACCTCTTAGGTCTCCGAAAATACTTAATGCTGACAGGACCATCCTTGTTTCCAGAACACTTGTGTGCCACCACCGTTCCTGGACGGATTGAATTCCCATGGTGTGAAGTCCAGGGCCATGGATTCTTCCTTCTCCATCATATACATCAATGGTCACCATATGAACAGGTGGTGTTTGGAAGTCTGCACCTAATATAGACAGTCCCTGGCCTGTGACAAGGGCAGAAAGTCACCCAGGTCACCAGTGTTCCTTTAAGCTGAGCATTCAGGCAGCCAAGCAGGAGAGATTTAGCTGCCACCCAGCTGAACAGCAGAGTGTCCACAGCCAGCAGCATGTGTTTCTACTAGGTGGTGTTCGTCCCTCAGCGCACATACAATTTATTCTGCCCATGGATGGAAAAAAATTATAGGGAGCAGTGGAGGTCATCAATTACTAAGATGATGAAAAAGTCTTGGACACTAGAATGTACAAAGGGGAAAATTTAGACTCAGGAAGGCTTGGTGTGTGACTATCCAAAGGCAAACGGCTCATGTTTTACTCAGGTACCTGCCCTTACAATTTCAGAAAATAAGCAAGCCAAGCCAAAAGAGCTACAGTTCTCCCAGTCATACATGACAGAGCTAAGTGAGACTCTTACACCTACTTTATCTTTAGAATGGATGTTTTGGGATAGTGGAGCCACTCAATTGGCTGCAGTTTAATCTTAACACCACCACCTCCCCAGCCACCAGCACTAGTCACCTTTCTTGTCTTGTGGGAAGGGTCCCCAGGCAGACATTTTACCAAACGTCTGTTTTCTTTTCTCCTTAGTCTGAATTGACTTAGAGGAATTGGTTTCTGATTGTGTATTTAGCCAACCCAAACAACTTTCTTCCCATGTAGCAAACAACGGCAGGACCTAAATAGCAACAATTACTTCCTCTCAGAACCTGTGCCAAAGGCAAGCTTGTCAAGGAGAGCATGTGCTATGCAGTTCCTTGGGCCTTAGCAAAGATAGAATATTCCAATGGTAGTAAAGGAGAAATCACCAAGCTTGAGTTTTTCAGCAGCCCCCAGTCACTGGCCCTATAACACTCCCAGACAGAATGTAAAATTCTGCTCTTAGAAGTAATGTTCCATTGAGTGCTGTCTCTCCAGCCCCAAGACCAGTCTGCCTGAGCCACAGCATGTTCTTGCTTTCCGCTCACAGTCACATCTGCTTATAGGGAACACTTTATCCTCCATTCGCAGCATTAGTAAATATCCAATTCAGTCCATGTCAGGTACTGCCTCAACTTTCACACATCTGAACTCCTGAATTGGTCCCACTATCAAAGGATCTTTAACAGTGATTGGGGGAAACCTAGACACAAGCTCCTTCAGCACCCAGCTCTGAAGAATGGAGCTTCTTTTCCCCTACCCGCCAACCACTTACAACACATTCCTATACAGACGTTATGCATCGCATATCATACAAAATTAAATGTTAATCGCACACTGTTAACACGGACCGAGACATTCATCTGCATGCTATTACTCGCAGGATTCTTCCAAGTGACCTTTCATTTCCTAGAAGTCCTAGTGTCAGAGCTCTGGGAGCCTTTGGAGGGTTTGGCATGATACTGAAGCACTTACTTTTTTTAGATGGGTATTTAAATTCTTTCAGTACTCAGATCACTTTCTAGTTACACAACACTGCAGCACAGCATCTGCTTCATGGTACAATAGTTTCAAATTCTCCCTTAAAGTTAGAAAAAGCCCAGAGCACCAGGTGAAAAGTGGGAACCGAGGAAATGAAAGACAGTATTAGGCAAACAAGGCCAGGAGAGGAAGCAGGATAGGAAA